AAACGCATTGAAAATTATATAGAACAGTAGGTAATACCATGTACTAACTCGGCGTGGGAATACTGAAATAAAGTTGTTGCCGTTGTTGTTGTTGTTGCATGCAAGTATTTCCCGGGAATTATTTCAATGCCAAACTAAGAATACGGTTCCTTGGTAGCATTTTAATGTTCCTGTAATTTGCAAGGCTTCGGCAAGCCTGTGGAGATCATTTTTTTTCAACACGAAATTCTGCCTTGAACTCAGCTGCATCCCGAATGTTTTTTAGCGTGAACGGATCGTAACTGTCCCGAGGAAAATCGGGATTTTTGGACTCATAATTTTTCCACAAAACGAGAAACTCTTCATCCGATACATGTTGTCTGCATAGCAAATATTTATTCTCTTAATTCTTTATGTGAAGCCATATTTTCCTCTTCGGTATTCTTCTAATTAAAGGCGCCGTCCTTCTGAGTTCACTGCGATCTTAATGTTCTATTTTTGACGGGGAGCGACGGCTGCCTTAGTTCCAGGCTTTCTCTGCCAGTCCGGTCGCCGTCGCCCCGAAAACGTCTCCATCTTAAGTTCCCTAGTTACAAGACGACGGCGCCCACCAGTTGATCGTGGTTATCAGTAACATGCATGACCATCCCTGTTAGTATATCTCTTTCGATTCAAAAGTACTTAAAGAAGCTTAATTTCTTTCTTTTAGAGGCCGGAGACGAATTCAAGAGTCAAAAGAGGCAATTTCATGGAACTGTTAACCTGTACAATCACGACATCTGACACGGCCAGTAATTATGCAAATACGCAAAATGGCAGATTATAATCTACTGTTGGTTGCAATCCCAGAAGATACCCGCAAGTCTGAGCCTATAAACCCAAAAAATAAGCTTAAAACTTTACTTTGATATGATTTTTAAACCAGATTTAGGCCGCAACTTTTGAGATATTTTCCCTCAAATCTTCCTTACGTTCAGAGTTTGGATTAAGCCTGCAAAATAGGTATTCTTTGAACCACTGTAACTTGAACATGTTTTGATCAAAGATATTTTTATTTAGCCTGTGAACTATCGAAGGTTAACTTAAAAAACTGAATCGAACAGATTTTTTGTGCGGGCATTGGTTTGTTTGCAACACGCTTTTCAAAATCCATCAATTTTAGTCTTCGAAACACTCTCTGGGAAGCCGGGACGGACTCAATTCGCTTTTGACTTGTAGCAGAGCTAAGAATAAGAATTTGAAAACAAAAATAGCGATTTTAGTATACACCTACTAAAGCCTCTTCACCGACAAAAAATAAAGGAAAAGTATTTTTTGTCGCGAAATCGAGTGGACCGCTTTTAGGGAGACTGCCTCTTAATTCACCATAACCAGTTACTGATGACCAAATTTGGAAGAATTTTGACTTTAACGAAGAAATGACGTCAAAAATGCAGCGTTTTCGCAGGTTAAGGCACCGTTAACCGAGAAGACCTGGGGACGAGGTTGAGTTGTTTTGGTTGTGAACTTGAAAAAATGGCGGACATTTCACTCGTTTCAAGAATAAGAACTAGGCGAAAAAATAGCTAAAAACATGGCAAGAACAGCAAGAAGACAACTCGAAGGGCGACATCTGCTATTTGGAGAATATTTGCGGAGCTGGACAAACCTAAACGTACACTATCGAAGACGAACTGAACATCGATGGATCGATGGAGGTAAGCATGTTTTAGCTATGTTTTTAAGCTAGGAATTATTTTGAATGAATAATAAACAGTTAATGAATTCGGCTTTCGTATCATATGAAGAATTATGGAGATCTCGGAAGGTGTTATCCGCCTCGGCCTACGGCCTCGACGGATAACACCCTTCTCGATCTCCATAATTCTTCATAAGATACTCAGCCTCATTCATTAACTGTTAAATGTTTGCTTTTGCTAAAGCAAAAGAAAAAAGGAACCAGCAATTATTCCGAATAATATGTGCGTCTTTTTAATATTTTATGAAGTTTGCAAAGTTTCATAAAAAGGTACTCAGTACACGAGTTCATACGATAATACGTGTTAGAGTCCAAACGAATAAATTGTTGTGTCGCTCAAAAAGGGAGGGAGTATGAACTTTAACCGAAGCACTGTTTACCTTTAACGCGTACAAATTCAAGGTTAAAACTCACAGTAAGCTAATATGCAAGAAGAGTTGAGCAACCAAGATTTATTTCCACTGCCACGTAATTGCAATGTGTTGCGAACTCGCGTAAAACTTATGTGCGTAAATAAAAAAGAGGCGACGCTTTTTAATTTACGTACTTTAACTTTTACGTTTACGCGCGACCTTCAATACATCGCCTCTATAATTTTATTTACGCGCGTAAGATATTCGTGTGTACTTACGTCAATTTCACGCGTCAGCGAAAACCCACCTTATAGAGGTTTGCTCGGTTACACTGACCGTGAGGAGTCTGCAAACGAGAAAAGGCGAAAAGAAAGTGGGGGACTGCTACTCTCCTTTCTCTCCCCATTAAAACAGGAGAGTGATGCCTGCAGACGAGGCCACACTCTACCGGACGAATTTTCGACCGCCAGAGAAATTTGACCAGACACTTCGTTCATACGCGACTTTGAACTGCTAGACGTTTGATTTCTTTGTACGGTTAAGGTAGTTCCGTGTGAACAGAAAACCTAAACGCGTAAATTTCATCCCTTTGAAAACTCGTCCGACGTGCCTTGTGAACATTAATTCTGCAACTATTTTGGGACTTTCATTACTGGTCGCTTAATTGGTGGCCGCTTAACCACGAGGTTAAACTTTTATTACAGCTGCAACTATCAGAACTGTTTAGAACATTAACTCAAGCGTCACGTTCACTCTTGTTATTAAAAGAGTGAGAAATTAAGGAAAGGGAACCATTTACCGGGAGTACATACGAAACTTGATTTGAACCGTTTTCACTGAAAGTTTATCCTTATGATTCAAAACGTTTACGTTGAACAAAGAAACTCTTGACGTCAGTCCAGGGAATAAATCCGTTGCAAACTTGAGCAAAAAATTTTCAGCTCTCTGCTTCCTTCAAGATATCCTTCAAGACAACCAAGCAGCTCAGTATTTGTTGGAAAGGTAAGCGCTAAGTTGTTGTGAGAAAATACAACGATAAGCCTTTAAAACAATTCCTCTCTTCATATGATCTCGAAGTCATCTTGCTAATAGTCACCGCCGCACAGTTAAACCTCGCTGAATTTTGTCTTTCTTTTAAAGAGAAGCTTAAATTCGCCATACCTTGCAAAAGAGAAGATTTTAAGAAGATACAATGTACAGCCGGTTTTAATCGCCATACCTAGCAGAAAGAGGTTTAAGACACGTAGCAGTTTTTAATTTGTGTGTTCTTTTGTAACTAGAAATTTGAAAAACATCTTCATCTTTTTAGGTTTTGAATAATACTAGATCGTTGAGCGTTTAAAATTCAACAAAGGATAAGTAAGAAAATACCAAGTAACAACCCAAACATATGCAATGGAACAAAACATCAAAGGATGTTGACCACATGTTTTGAAAAATGTATATTTCGTTTGCTTTAAAGTCCCTATCCTTTAACGGGAAACTGACACAAAAAAAATAATTGTGGTTACAAAGCTATGAACGGTTACAGGAAGCTAACAGAAAGCAGCTGTTAGCAAGAATGGGTAGCACAGGTAGCACTCGCCTGAGACAGTTAGGGCGTAAATAATGGCGATACCCGCCATGAACATGAAAGCGCGCATATCCCTTACCTAGTTCCCGGCACAGGCTGAGAGGCTGTAATAAAAAATTTTGTTCGTTCTACGTACTGGAGTCATCAAAAAGGAAGTTCATATTGACAAGTTTATCTCAGCGACAATTTTTCTGAAAGGTTTGGCAAAATTAAATAAAGAAATTGTATCTTGTTTACACTATGGGAGGTCTGAAAAACAGCCTACCGTTCGGTTAATAACTTGGTTAATCGTTGCTCGTTGCAGTGGGCAGAAGGGTTGTAGTATACGTAGTGAACTTCTTTATCGGACTTCGTATACCAAAGAAGCTTAGATGAAGTTTCTTCAATCATTGGCTCTTTTAATATTCATTTAAAGATGTTTTCGAGGTACGATAACTTGGAAGTTGATTGACTTTTATTGGCACAATTAGTGCGCGATACGATGCAGTCTCTTTGTGAATATTTTTTAATGACTTCGAGTTTAATGGAGGAAGCATTCTTGAAACGTAACCGGGGGGGGGATACTCCCTACAATAGCCTATACGGAAAGGCTCCACCCAAAAGGAATATCTTATTTAGGCTTCAGCTATATAAAAGAGCAGGGATTTACTAGCTGAAGTATATGAAAGGGTAAGGAAATCTATCATTTCGGTCTGTAAAAAAGGCCCGAAGGGTTAGCAAATGTATTTTATGGCTGTGACAAAGTAAAAAAAAAAAAAACGTTCTTGTTTCGTGATTTATTCATAGTTTAAAGGACATTGGATCAGAACAGCAGTTAAAATGTATGCAAAGTTCCAAACTAGGTATGTGATAGGGGTACTTTATCTGTCATAATTAAATGGTATGCAAAAAGGGTAAGGGGCTGGACCTCGAGGCGGAGCCTTCCCGTATAAACCTTTCTTGAGTATCCTCCCCCCCCCCCCCTTCCCAATGAAATAAACTTTCTACCAGGTCATCCATAGCTTCTTAGTGACTTGCAGTTCAGTGAGGGCCAACAGTAACAACTAAAATTCACATATCATATTTTGTCCTCAGTTTTCAGTCAACCTATTCATCGTACTCTCCACATAACCGCTGTTTTTGATTTTTTTCTTTCCACATGTGAAAGCAAGGGATTTATTTCAGCGTTAACAAAAGTAAAGTTAAGGCGAGCATTTAATTGAAGAATTGTTGTCAATGTACAACCTCCATTCTTGATATTTAAGGAGTGGACTTCAGTCCTCTTAGTCCACCTTCTAATTAACTTCCTTTTTTCAACTAACCAAATTTTATTCGATTTCTTTCTGAAGGGAGGAGAAAAGAGAATTAAAAGAAAACAATGAGCTCCATAACGGTCTCTTCAGCCGAGTGCAGCACATGGTATGCGGTGTCCCTTACTACAGCTGTTGCTGTGTTTGCAGTGAACCTCCTATCAATTATTCTTTTTGTAAAGAACAGTAATCTTCGGACTCGTGCCATGTACTTGGTTATAAACTTGACTGTGGTTGATATGTTTGTTGGAGGAATTGCCACATTCTTTGCAGTATTTCATTTCCTCCTCTACGGTTGCAAAGCTGGAAATATATCATGGCCCTGGCAGGAATTGCCACCTATTATGGTTGTGCTTTCCACGACCGAGGCGTGGCTCCCTCTCACCTCTTTAGCAGGTATTGCAGTAATTTCTTTAGAGCGGATGCATGCGACGTTTCGTCCATTCAGGCATCGCAACATCAAAAAATGGGCCTACGGGGTAACAATTGCGGGCGTGTGGATTTTAACTGCGATGATATTAATTCCCTTGCCGTTAATAAGTCTCTATGGGAACTTGCATCAACAGTGGCAATTGCTATTTCCTTTCTACTTATGGCGGTCATATTGTTTCCTTTGCCTTATTGTTATCTGTGTTTCTTACACCTCCATTGCTTTAAAATTTTGGTGTGGTACCCGTCCTCCATCCCATGGTGCTGCCAATAGACAAAGAAAACTGACTGTGACATTATTCACAATGACCATTGTATCTTTGCTGCTGTGGTTACCATTTGTTGTATATTCTTTCATTTCTTTTTTTGTTCTAGATAAGATTGCTTTCCTGACATATTTACGCTTGAGATTATCTTTTTTTCTTCTATACCGCACAAACTCGCTTGTTAATCCTGTTATTTACACAATCAGAATGCCAGAGTTCAGAAGAGCTCTCCTGATATTATTTAAACGTCTACAAAGACAAAATGCTGCTATTCCTCTTCAAGCCCGTTAATTTACCTTGTTTAACACTTTATTGTAAGTTCAAATGATGACCAGTCAACTATGTCAACTATTGCTGTTTTGCTGCATGAAACAAAATCTCTTGAAAATAGTAGTTCAATGCATAGTTTTATTACTAACTTTAGATGGATAAAGCAATTTTCCTATGACCTCGAAAAATGTTTTCGGCTAAGTGTTCGTTATTTGTTTTATCAAAGATCAAAACATGGACTCTTCGTTTTCCCGCTTAAGAAAACGCTAATATGCAGACGACATTGTTCGATTGGCCAATCGTGTTGCAGTATGATGTCAAAGCGAAGTATCAATTGATTTCTGGAAAGTTCTCGGGCATGAAGGTTTTAATTTCACCCTAACGCTTGCTTAACCAACCAAAACCCATTCCCGTTTGTATCCGTTCGGTAAACCATTCAAATCGCTCTATTTCCTTTCGTTTGATGTTCTGTTTTGTTCGCGTGGTTTCATTTCAAGGTCATACGAAAATCGCTCTAAAAAGACTGTAAATACGTATACAGAAGCTGTTACTCATTTCAAGGGGCTACCTCACGCTATTTGCGAATATCTTTTTAAAATGGATAAACAGTCTCTTCTCATCAATTGATTTCGAAAAACAATGGTCCAGTTTTGTTTAACTTTTTTACATTACATGACATTTATAAGCGTTGAAAACGTTTCCTGCTGTCGTCGCAAAGGATTGGCAAGGATAAATATGGATTGACTTGAAAAAGTTGAGCTAACGTTTTCAAGTTTTAATGCTATCCAAAAAAATTGTCATTATTATTATTATTATTACTATTATATCTTCTTCATAACTCTACGGGAGCAAAGATGGACCTAAAACAGCAATATCCTCGTACTAGCTCCTTTAACAAATTAAAAAACCCATTAAATATTAACTCGTTAATATTCAGTGGGCATGCTTATTGTCTAATGAACTTGAGAAATTGTCCAATGGAAATAACACTTTCCTCGAGCAATTTTTTTTCCTCCTGTGCGATTATCATCAAACTGCTGAAATTTCTTTCATTTGGAGAGCGGTATTGCGAAGGCAGATAGACGCTTTTAAAAACTGTGTAACCCGGGGGGGAGGGGGTACTCCGTACAATGCACTACACGGGGTACCATTTTCAGGCTTCAAGTATTGTTTAGCTAGTATTTCATATTTAAAGGATAGTGATTTACAACAGTTAAAGGGATGCAGCGTTTATTCGGTATGTGAAAGGCATATTATTTCTCAGTAAGGGGTACCTTTTCTGTCAAAAATGGTATATAAAAGCTGGTAAAGGGTTGGTCCACGGGGCGGACCCTTCCCGTATAAAACTTTGATGCGTAGCCCGCCCCCTCCCCCCTTCCCTCCCTTGGGGCTGTGAACTTGGGTTGTTCAATCTATTTGCATAGTATTTGATCCGTGTAGCATTTGTTATTTTTACAGCTTTTTCCTTTTTCAATGCATTATTAAGGATCCCATTGAAATAAAATACTAAGGGAACGTTTTTGAAACTGTTCAAATCACTCACAGCGCGTGTTTTGAACATTACATTAACCACAGTAAAACCCCGCGACTAAGAACTTGGTTTTTAAGAAAATGTAAGGCTAAAATTCACCAGTTAGGTCTCCTCTGTACAAGAACCTGTATAGCCTCAAATTTGAAACAGGACCTTATTTTACTAAAAATCCATAAAATAAATCTGTGCACTTTTGCAAGTAAGATATGTCAACATTCAGGGTCCTCTTTGGAGACGTAGAAGCCTTATAGCTCCAACTGCAATGTCATGGTAGGCGGGTTTTACAAAAGCAATGACTGGATGTAATGTATTTTTTCTTTAGAAAAAGAGAACCTATTAATGCAGGTTCCTAGTGGCGGGTTTTACTGTATTTAGCTAATTTATCTTTTCGTAATCAATGTTTTTAATCAAGACAAAATATGCGTTATATCAACAGGCAATTTCCGAGTTCCACAAACCCTCACTTTCCAAGCAAGGCTAAGTGCAAATCCTTTTTGTGATAATAAGTTCCATTTGCATGGGACTAAAAATAGTCATTTTTGTCACAATCATTTCGCTTAAAAACGTACAGAAGCTTGGGGTGACTCAGAGATAGCCTATTAATATTATACATTAAGATTTTTGGAATTAATTGTTATACACGGTTTTATAGTGTATTTTTTCTTTTTTTACTTTGTGAAGTACTACTTCGTATGTAAGCTGCAAAACAGTCGGTTTTTCCCCTCATAATCGGTAATACAAAGGCCCAAAGGGTAGGCTTGAGAATTTCGCGCGAAGCGCGGGAGCCTCACACTCTCGTAGGCCCAGTATCACTCGCCCTTTTTCACCTTCCCACCTTTCGATTAACCGCTCGCGCGCGCGTTCTTAACGAAGGCAAAAAGTAGGGAGGTTTTACAGTTTAATACGTATGTGGTCATTGATAAAATATAACGGTGTGTAAAAAGAAGCCAATGAAGTCGAGTTCAGTACACCTTAACTTCTGCTTTATACTAGGCTTGTTATTTGTTTCTAAGTCAGTAAAGTTAACCAGTTTAAGAGAATTCAATAAATTTACTATTTGAACATGATTTTCCCCGTGTTGTTATTTAAGACGAAATAACGTGTTTCCTTATTTAGTAAACTTGACGGAAACGTGAAGTTGCTTAAATCTGTCAAGTTTACTCCCTGCGGAAACATCGTGATCTAGTTTTCCATGGACGGGACGCGTTTCCCTTAGGTTTCTGAGTCGGAAACGAACGATCATGTTTCCGCCACATTTCTGTTATCACATTTCCGTTCCTTCTTGGTTCCGTTATGTTTCCGGTGACGTTTTTTAAAAAACTCATGTCCAAGACCGCACGATAAATGTTTCAGAAATTTTGCCTTTGCGTAAAATCAAGGTGAATAAAAATAAATTTACTCTCGAGATAGGGCCATTAAACGGTTCTCATGCATTTAATACTCGCGCGCGTTGCATTGATGCAGCGACTGTGAAGTGCGCGAAGTTACGACTGTTTTCAATTCTAAGTGATTAAAATCGCAGAGAATACCAACGGCTGTTGATATTTGCCAGAATAATCTCAATCAGTACTGGCGTAAAAATAAAATGATCTTAGACTGAGAAAACAAGAGAGAATGGGGAGAATGGGGCCTAGAACAGAGCGAAGTGCTGGTCAGCGGACGTTTCTTTTGTTCATGCTCATTGCGGTCGTTCTTTTTGGCGTCCATTTTAAAAGTGACTGCAACAGCTTCAGATTTGCCGGCTTTTGTAGGTTCTAGGAGCGTGGAGTTTGTATATTTTTGCTTTTCGATTGCACCACAAGATATCTAAGGGTTGTTATGTACATTTGTCGACTCATTGGCCTTCAGTAATCGATCGCTTCTCTCATAAAGCGACCCTTTTGTGACACAGTTGAGCAGAATGTGAGACAAAAACCTCGTGATGGGCAAAAATAATTTGAAAATTTGGAGTGTTTGATTGTGCTAAGGGCATCCAAGACTGAACACTGTGATGGAGAAAACAGATTGCAAGACGAGGTAAGCTGCCCTGGTACCAAATCTGAGGTTCTTTAGCCACTGATTAATAACTAGTACTTAGCAACTTAAAGGAGCAGTGTCACGAAATTTATCAAAACTACAGCAGTGTAAACCACCCCCAATCTCGGTAAAACATAAAAACACTGCTCAAAACATGAAAAGAAGGTTTAAGTAACAAAGCAAAGAGCAAGAGTGAGTACAAATAAAAATTGCTTTTGGTGTTATTAGGTAACAGGTGGACAGACTTAAAAAAAATTGAAAAGGATGGCAATTGGGCCCTTTGAAACTTGTTAGCCTAACAGTTTTTCAGATTTCATTTTTGTGGTCTTCAATGTTTGATATAATGCTTGGGAGACGTGTTTGTTCACACAAAGCTGTGATTGATAAGTAATTTCTCAAGTTTCATAGCAAATGCGATACGGACATGTAGGTGTAATTACAGTTGATTTCACATGCCTTTACTGACCACGTTGCAAAGTTCGTTGGCAAATTGGGTACTACGAAGTAGCCAATACAATTGCAAGTTAGGGAATCAAATTGCAAACTTTGAGACGTATTTGTCAACTTTGGTACTACTGAACTTCATAACTTCATATCTTTTTTTAAAACCAGGAAACTGCAACATAATGAACCCAAATCCTTTTACTAAACAGGGCAAGGGTTACCGTGTGAGGCCTGTGAAATGATTTACTGTAGACAAATGGTTAGAGGGTTCGAAACCATTCCAAGTAGTACACCAGTTGAAATTAATGGAGAAAGACGGTAACAAATATTGTCGCTCAGTTCGTACATACAGAAAGGTCCTACAAGTACAGTATGTATACTACGGAAATACAAAAACAGTTCATCAAAAATTGGGTTATTGACCCGCAAAGGTTGCTGGTTGCAATCTCCACTCTGGACATTTAAGGAGTCGACGTCAACACTCTTAAATCATCTCCTAACTTCCTTTTTTCAACTAACCAAACTTTATTCGATTTCTTTCTGAATCGAAGGGAAGAGAAAAGAGAATTAAAAGAAAACAATGATCTCCAGGATGATCTCTTCAGCCGAGTGCAGCACATGGTACGTATGCTGTATTCCTTACTATAACTGTTGTTGTGATTGCAGTGAACCCTATGTCAATTATTATTCTTTTTGTAAAGAACAGTACTCTTCGCACTCGTGCCATGTACTTGGTAATAAACTTGACCGTGGCTGATATGTTTGTTGGAGGAATGGGCACTTTCGATATAGTATTTCATTTCCTTCTTTACGGTTGCGAAGTTGGAAATGAATTATTCCCAATCGGCTCTATTATTGCTAATCAGGAATGGGAACCTTTTATTGTGCTTGCCATGATCAGCATGTGGCTACCTCTCACCTCTGTAGCAGGCATTGCTGAAAGCAGTTATTTCTTTAGATCGTATGAATGCGACGTTTTGTCCATTTA